AACCCTGCTTCATAAAATAAATAGAGCTAAAGCAGAGCCTTAAAAAGATCAAGGTAGGAGGATGCTAAGGCCACATCAATATTTAGTACAGGTGCCATTTCAAATAGAGCCCAGGGAGACACAATACCATTCAAAATAAGACCCAGTTCAAATGAGATTCTTCATATGTGTTTTTATATTCGACTTGTACTTGCAGTGGTGCGTGTGTGTGAGGATAACCAGAACTGCTAGTGTTTAAAGTCAGTATAATTCAGATAAGATGGCAGCTGTGTAAGGAACTAAGAAACACATTAGAAAATCCTATAAATTAAAACTTTTCCCTTTCCTAATTATCTTGATTTTTGAGGAACATATTGTGAAATTTCAGGGGCTAAAGCAGTGATGAATCAAACATTTTGGAAACCTTTGAAATGCTGATGTATTTGTGGTTGAGGATTCTTTTTTTTTTTTTTTTTTTAAACATATGTTTCAAACACAAACAATCTCTGCCATGCATCAGCTGGACTTCGGGGTTTTATCAAAAATGGGAGTTTTTTCAGCTTGATTGGTGGAAAATTCACTTAATTCCACAGGATGACTAATGTTCCAACATAATAAATTTACTAAAGGGCAAAACGTAACACACTACCTACCCCTTACCCCCTCCTAACACTTTGGACAGAACTAAAACTTTTGTTTTTTTCATCTCCAAAAGATATATTGACTAATAATCATTTTGAACATTAGAGCTAGTGAAATTAGGTGCTGTTACCTTCCTCCCTAAATTCTCTAATGAAAAAAGAGAAATTGGGAAGAAGTAGGGGAATGGTCTTAATTCTCAAAATGAAAAAAAAAAAAAAAAAAAAAAAAAAAAAAAAAAAAAAAAAAAAAAAAAAAAAAAAAGATCCAAAGGACAAAACCTAAACTATCAGGCTGGAGATGTCAAAAGGCACCACCAAGTGGTAAACTACAGGAAGTGCAGCTTCCTCTAGTCAGGCACAGGCTGCCCAGTAAGGGCCCTGACTTCCAGAGGGGTGCTGAAGCAAAGGCCCTGAAGCCACTAACCTGGGGCCAATAGGGTACAGTGTTCAATATCATTCGTGCTTCACAATCTCCAAAAGTTATGTAAATACTTCTATAAGTAGCCGAGTCAGAATTCTACCCCAAATCTGCTTTAAAAATAACCAAGAGCTGTGAACCTCTATTTAACTTAGAAAAAAACACAGATCAAGATGTGATGTCAAAAGATTACATGCAGTTGTCTGGGGTTGGAGTGGTAGTTCTTTCTTCTAAATTGTACAACAGATTTATAGCTTCATTTTTAAAAGAACCAAAAGATTTTGTAATGAAAGACTATTTTTCATAAATATATACATATATGTTTATATATAACAGACACATATATACATATATTGACATAGTTATGATTATAGAAGATATATATGCTTGTAGAAAATTTGAAAAATACTAATACAGAAAAAAATTCACTTAAAGTCTGTAACTTAGTAGTACTAAGTCTCTTTTGTTTATACATACAAATTATTTATTTTATAAAACTGGTCTCATTCTATGTTTAAAATGTTTAAATCATCACTTCACAAGCTAAGTGTTGTATAGTGATTGAATGTGTAGAATAAAAAATCAATATTAAATAAGAAAACATAACTTTATACAGAATGATTAGCTCTCTAGGTTGTAGAAAGAGACCGAGTATAATAAGTATACCCTAGGGAACCAGCAGTTAGCGTAATGGCTATGTCGCTGGACTCCCACGTAGTCGACCGCGGTTTGTGTCCTGGACCCGGTGGCTTAAAACTCACGCCGGGCGTGTGTGCGTGCGTGCCCAAGATCCCGAGAGGAGAATGGAGGAGAAGGGATTGCGGCATGACCATCCCCCCTGGGGGGTGATTTCTCGCTTTCTGTCTCTATGTCTCTCTCTGTCTGTCTGGCGAGCGCACGCGCCCTACAGTGAAAATCTCTCCAAAAAAAAAAATAATAATAAGTATACCCTAACCTATAACTAGCGAGATAAATTTAAACTGTGGGCTTCCAAGCAAATATTCTGGAGCTGCCTGAGCCTCTTACCCTATAGCTCTTATCCTATCTTAATCTGCTCAGTGCCAGTAAATGAAAAGTGAACTTGGACTTACATCGTGGCTCTGTCAACAGTGGCCGTAGCACCTTTGACAAGACGCTAATTGCAACAAATCTGTTTCCTCTCTTGAAACATTGAGATGATCATCTTTGTTCCACTTAACTCAGAACGTTATCAGGAGGATAAGTGAAATGATGCAAATCCAGACCCTCTGCAAATTACCCAGTTAGGAAACACTCTTCCAGGTCCCTGGCATCCTCAAATATTTAGTACACAGGAAGCACTCTCAGAGTTCTCCTACGTGAGTGTTGTGACTCTCTTCTAAAAAACTTAACTGGGGGGAGCCAGCAGGTGGCATGGTGTCTAAGGTGCTAGACTCTCACCTGGCCAACCATGGTTCAAGTCCCAGACCTGGTAGCTTGAAACTCACACCAGATGTGTGTGCATGCATATGTGCCCTAAATCCCAAAAGGAGAATGGAGAAGGGATTGCAGCATGGCCATCCCTCCTGAGGAGTACTTCTTGCTTTCTGTCTCTCTGGCAAATGCACACACCCTGTAGCAAAAAAATCTCAAAAAAAAAAACCCAACAGTAACAACAAACTTAATGGGGACATAACTGATTTTGGCAGGGATTGCGGTTTCTCATTTTCACAAACATTTCCCGAGTGGTTTCTGTTGATCTATGTGATCAGTTGTGGAATTTTCCATTCTTATAGGCACCTGATTGCCTTGAAATTTCATTTTAATTTATTTATTCCAAGAGTGAGAAAGAGAGAAAGAGACACAGCCTCTTCTAGCCTCTGCCAACCTAGACCACAGCATGCGTGAGCCCGGCATAATCAGGGACGCCAACTAGCAACCTTCTCATGAGGGTCTGCCTTGAAGAGCATCTACTTTACTACCACACCATTGTCCAGTCTCCCCATTGTGCGGTCCCCCCAATTCTGTTTTATATCTAAACATTTGCTACTTTCTTTCATCCTAGTAAAGCACTCTGCTGATCTAATCCGAGGTTATGAAGTCCCCCCAATATTACTGCCCTGCTTGATACTGCAGCTTCTGCTGTCGCCTTATATTTCTTTCCATCTCATTATCCTCCCCAGTTTACCCACCACACCACCTCCCCACTGTGGTGTGATGACATGGATAATGCATTTCCAATTCAAGTTTTCAGTTACTTCTCATAGGATTTCAATATTTTTTACAGAGATGCCTTCCCTAAGGCCATGTCTCGAACACCCCCCTGCCCCACCCCTTTCAGGGTCCTTTCTATAGGACTGGTAACTTTCTTATCAAATCTGATACAACTGGCAAGTTTCTGTTATGGTTTTGAAGATGACAACTTATAAAAATGTTCTAATTTAGTAAGCCAATTTGTTCATTTCACTTTTCTAACACTACGTGAAGTTCCTCATGTTGTGCAATAATTTTGGACTTTTCTATCACTTTCTTGTACTTAAACAAAAACGTCTTTTGTCCCTTTTTGGACAGGACACCTTACATGCAACTAGCAGCCCAAGCCAGAGGAGACCCTGTACTGGCCCACACACCTGCTGAGAGGAGACTGCTATGGCTTAATGTATCCAAATACAGGTGAGAGTGCTCACCAGGACGCCTGGGGTGTGCTACTGCAGTTACTGTGGAGGGAGGACGAAATACTGATGAAATCAACATCATTCAAGTTAATAATTGTAAATTACATAAGTAGACCCACTATTAATTCTCCAAAGAAATATTTCCAAAGCTAAACAAAAACCTTTTAATCACCTTTGAGCCATGTCTTTGAAAACTTACTTTCCCATTTTGTTTCCCTAACCCCTCCTTCCCTTCCTAGACCAATTTGGATTCCTCCTGGGCTACGAAAGGGCAGGAAAATGGGGAAAATGAAGATTATCGAAATGAAAATGGAAGTGGCAAAGATAAAGAGAGTGAAAAGGGTTACAATGACACGTGGTGAGGCCAATCTGAGTAGGAGTTAACTAGAAAAATGATCTGAAAACTAATATTTATTGCTCTGTTTCCCCATGGGAGGGAGAAAAAAGAAACATGCTACATGTCCTACCTGATTAGCCGAAATGAATGTTAGTGGAGTGCTAATGCACATGTGCGGTAATGTGTAGTTTTGGGGTTTCTTCCTTGATTTATGTTCTCGCAGACAGCCTCTCCACTCATCATCTTTTTACACAGTGTCCTTTGCTTATGGAGCCAGCTTAGTTCTTTAAGGCTCGGTCCAAGTAGCATCTGTCTCATAAGATTACCCATGATTGCTTCACCCATAGCCCTCTCTATTCTGAAAAATCTCTGCCCGAGTGGATGGCATGCTTCTCTGGAGTGATAGCATCTATCAAAAATGTGCACTCCGGTGTATTCATCCCACACCCTTCTAACGGGTATTTATCTATTAATACAAATGCTGCACCTTCTACTGAATACTAAGGCCCAGTGCTCATTCCTCTGATTTGGAAATACAGCTGCTGTGACTTTGTTCCACCTGGCTAAGGTGGAAGATAACTGTGGCTCTTACCAAACCTCCCAGAAATGCCATCATAAAGTGGTCATCAAAGTCTACTATAAAGCCTAATCCCCTGCCAAAAATTACCATGGCACTGACGGGTTGTCCAGGTCTCCAAACAGGGTTTGCAGGGTGGTAGAGTGCTTCTCTGCCCAAACAGAATAGATTGATCCCCTCTACTGTATAAGCTTGCCTTTCTGAGCTGGAGAAAGCATTGCCGCAGTGATACTTAACACCAGCACTGGCAGCTGAAGAGCTCAGTCATTCACTGCCTCAGTGATGGGCCGTCAAAGAAAACGAGAGCTATACATACACAGATCTTCGCTATTCATCATGACTGCTTTGGGGAACAACAGTTTTAGCACCATTTCATGCTCTTAAAATAATGCTTCAAAGAAAGAAAATTACTTACTGCCTTCCCACGTACAATGCAAAAGATTTAACGCCCCTTCCACCCTCTTCCAATGGGCAAGATGAAAGAATGCATATGCTATTGCTTCGCTGTCTCCTCTCTTCAGGATATGTTCTGGGGGTAGGATTAAGCTTTTCATTTCTAGTAGGTACTGAAATAAAAAAAAAAGGCAGGAGACAGATGTGTTAATAATACATAGTAATTTAGAATTCAATATTGAAAACAGAGATTGATTTCCCTAAAGCCACCATTTGTAAGCATTTCATCAAACCTGCAACCTCATTCCTACATTTGAGGGCAATTACTGAAACATACATTATCCCAAGTTTGCTGACAGATGATTAGCCTTGTGCTGGTTTCCTACGGTGATGATCAGAGGTTTTCGGGCTAAGATACTCTCATCAAAGAAATAGAGACTCAAATAACAAAGGAAAACTTAGAAGACATAATTACTTGGTATACTTTTGTAATCAGAATGAAATATATAAAACAGACACATAAAGCTTAAGAAGTCACACGGCCAAAACCAACCACGCTAGAAAGATTTGACATGGTCTAGCACTGCCATTACTTTTTACTGAACAAGTCTATTGAGAAGACAGAATTCATCCTGTGGAAAAAGTTACCCAGACCTGCTCAGATGCTGGAGAGAGAAAGAGTAGCCCCTTGAGCATGGAAGCCCCAAAGGAGGGGAACAGTACAGAGCCCAGACTCTAGCGGTCTTACAGATCCATTTCCAAAGACTGAAGCGGTCTTGGCTTTCACCTCTTCATTCCCATCTTCTATAAAGGAGATGCAGGTACAGGGCAAGAGTGAATGTTCTTCCTGGGGCCTTAGAGAAGACTGTTTCCATTTTTTTTATTCGTTTGTATTTATTTACTATAGAATATACAAGGGAGCAAATTTAGAAGGGTATTTTATATTTACAAGTGTTAACCTCTCTTGGCTGGCTAGGACTCTCCCTGCGCTTCATCCCTCATTGCCTCTCCTCTCTGACCATCTCCAGCAAACACACATGTGCACACACATGCACACCACCTTCATCAACAACCTTCAGCCATCTCCTTTACGATAGGAAATAGCAGATAACGGAGGGGTGTGTTCAATGAACGCAGGATGAATGCTGCAAAAGGAAGTTCCGTGGAAAGAGATGTTCAAAACTTTTAATGCCAGAAATAATTACCTGTGAACTTTTCAGTCTGTGGAAATATATAAAAGGAGGTGAAGGGTAAAAGGGTGTCAAGAAACAGAATGGTGATTATAACTATCAATGTCTCCTTATCACCTAGCTGGGCTTTTAAATGCCCCAGGCATCACTGGCTGTCTCTAAGCTTCCTCTGGGAGGCATACAGCCCTGCAGGAGCTGGGAGGACACTCAGGCACCTTGGCTTAGCATCTAAAGCTTTCCTCCTACTGGGCCTGAGCTCTGAAGACACCTCCAAGATTCTGACCTCAAAGCAGAAAGAATAGGAATGCAAGAGAGAGAGAGTCCGAGAGTGGCAGAGCGGTGATGCAGTCCTCATACCTGGGGGCAGGTGAGAGAGCACATCCTCCTCGGCAGAAAGACCACAGTTGAAGGGCCTCTCTCTTCAGGCTGGTCCACCAGAGGTGCTTTTTATTTCAATGGGAACTCACAAACATGAGTTACAAAAGAATATTCCGGTCATCTGCCTTTTGGGATTTCAAAAGCTTTCCTCCTACATCTTGTTTTTAAACACTTTAGAACAAAACTCTTTGGAGAAAAGTAACAATGGAGAATGACCCAACAATCCATCCAGCACCATGTTTATAATGAATGGCAACCATAGCGTAAAGATAACGGAGATGCCTGGCTAGCCTCCATTCATTTTCTTACTTTAGCAGCAGCCATTGTAATGTGCATTGCTACTGCCCTGAGGGTCTTTAAACATCCCAAGCTGTACGTCATGAGAATCACAATAATACTTCATTTGTAAAGTGCTTCAAACTGAATTAACTACTCAGTACGTTAGAGAAGGAAGACTATTTGGTTACCCCCAATAATTACCAGAAAAACACAGAAGAAGAAAAAAACAATCCTTGCCTAATGGGATCCCTAGAATAAGATTTTGCTCTGACTTTCTAATAATTATTCATAGCTACAGTGTCTATCAAATAGTAATTTTTAGGAAGGAGCATGGAGTATGAACTTTGAAACCAATTAAATAAGAAAACAACTAGCTCACATATCCAAGGTTACAGAAATCTCCTTAAAACCCCCGAGAATCAACAGTAGCTGAAAGAAAAGTTTAAACTGTTATTTCTTAATTTCTATGATTTGGATAAAAGCCTTTCAAAGTCCTCTCACTAAGCATTTATGAAGAAACTATCAGGAATAGGGGCACCTAAAAAGTGGAGATCATAGTCACCCCATTTGTGGATAGAAAACAGACTAAGAATAGGTAGGGCAGAAGAAAGCTGATGGGGAGGTGGAGGCGCTCAGAAAATAGCCGGCAAAGATGAATACTATAACTCTGTCATCTCTGTTCACTACAGTGGCGTCTGCAACATATGGTTCAGTTCCTTCTGGGTACCAACAGTTGGAATAATGGCTATATCGCTGGACTCCCATGTAAGCGACCCACAGTTCGAGTCCCAGACCCGGTGGCTTAAACTCAGATGGCTTGCTCCTCCTGCAGGCTGGATGGAATGCATGTGGCTTTAAGGACGCATGTGGCTTTTCATAGCCTTCAGCGTGGGCCGTGAGGTAATGGTCTGTTTCTCTTCTAATCTTTGTGCCTGTGCAGTTTTCACACACTGCCTTCTAGTAGTTAGCCACGTGTCTTTCCTTGCAGCTGAATCATAAGGCCCTCAAGATCATGAACCTTATCATCTTTATCTTAATTTCCCCTACTGCACTTCCTACAGGGACTTGCACATTATGGAATTTCTTTCTGTTTTTTTTTAGTTTTAAGTTGGATGAAATTGAAACTACACTTCAAGAAGTCTCTCAAATGAGCATCCTGGCCTAATTAGTGTCATGGGGCTAACCAAGGCAACTCACCAAGGAAACAGCTCTGCCTACTCATCCTATCTATTTTTTTGGCAGAAAGAGGTTATGCCGATAAAGAAGATTTATATTCCCTTATTGTTCCAAACAAAATGCTGGCCCTAACCGAAATGATTAAGGCTAATAACAACAATGTGTTATGTTCCTGGCCCAGACTTAAAGTGACTGGCAAGATGAGTTCTCAAACGTGCAACATTTAAATTAGAAAGGCATGGAACAACATTTCACTTCTTACTTGTCAAGAGAAAATAAATGGGAGAGGGCAGAACCTGATCCACAAGTATGCAGAAATCAACTAGAACTGGAGCCCACAGATCAGAGCACGCGCTCTGCCCGTCTATACCGATGACTTGGCTTCTCTTAGCCACGCCAGCACCTGCGTCGTCTCGCCTGCCGTTCTGCCTCTGACTTCCTTCTCGGATTCTCAGATCACACTGACCTTCAAGTAGAGGTCTTCTGAAGGTTTGGGGAAGCAACTTTTCAAAATCTGTGTCAGAATTCAGTTCCTTATGTCCAACACAGGAGCACAGAGTCAGGACTCACACAGGAGGGGAAAGCCAAGGTCTCTGGGTTGAGTAGCTTCCTCCTAGAAGTAGTTGAGCAGCAGGCACCTCACTGGTCAGAGAAGCTGCAGGCCCATCCCAGGGAGCCCACATGCCTGCTAAATTCTCTGTTGTCATAGTCTTAAAATTCTATAATAATTTAAATGAAAATGACCCCAAAGTTATCCTTTACATAAATATTAATGCCAAGGGATTCATTCATACTCCCCATTTTCTCAGATTCTCAATACCAACTACAGCATAAGTCTTATGAAATCATTAGCAAAAATATGAAATAAACAAAATGTGAAAGAACAAGTTAATTAAACTGTAGCATATTTAGATGATAATTCTCAAGCTGTTCCCCAAAACCAGGTAGCAGAATATTTACTAGCACAGGGAAATGCTGATGATGCATCACTAAATGGAAAAAAAAGTATCTTCTAATATATAAATATAGAGATTATGGGAACCAGCAGTTAACATAATGGCTATGTCACTGGACTCCCACGTAGTCGACCGCGGTTCGCGTCCCGGACCCGGTGGCTTAAAACTCACACCGGGCGTGTGTGCGTGCGTGACCAAGATCCCGAGAGGAGAATGAAGGAAAAGGGATTGTGGCGTGGCCATCCCCTCTGGGGGGGTGATTTCTAGCTTTCTATCTCTCTGTCTCTCTCTCTCTTTCTGGCGAGCGCACGAGCCCTATAGCGAAAACCTCTCCAAAAAAAAAAAATAAGAAGAAATTATTTTGATAATTAAAAATGTAAATGCAGAAATTAATATGAGAAGATCACAGATTGAATGTTAATGGCTAAATATTTTATTTTATGGAAGGTTACTTTCTTTTGTGTGCTGTCTGTGTTTTCTAAATGTTCTGTCATAAGCGTTTGTACTTTTTTATTGTTTTATTCAACTTTATTTATTTATTTATTTATTTTAATTTGACCAGAGAGGGACAGAGTGAGAGAAATAAAGAGAGAGAGGGGGGATAGTGAGAAAGCAAGCCGCCAGGTCCAGGACTTAAACTACAGTCGGCCATGTGGGAGTCCTGTGCCCTTAACCACCATGCCACTTGCCAGCCTACAGTTTTACTTTTATTTATTTTTTTAAGAGAAATTTTTGCTATAGGGTGTGTGCACTTGCAAGAGAGACAGAGACACAAAGCAAGAAATCACCTCCCAGGGGGATGGTCACGGTACAATCCCTTCTCCTCCATTCTCCTCTCAGAATTTTGGGCGTGTACACACAGGTGCCTGGCATGAGTTTAAAGCTGCCGGATCTGGAACCTGAACCATGTTCAACCATGTGGGAGTCCAGCAACGTAACCGTTACGCCATCTTCTTGTCCCTATAGTTCTTTTTATATATGTACAAATGTAATATAAACCTATTTTTTAGATTTGCATTACAATACAAAAAGCAAATCACATAAGCAAAAGATAATCAAAGAGGGCAATATTTTGCATGTCTGTAATGGTTGGTACAACTGGCTCTGATGGAAGGGTCTAAGCCCAAAAAAGATGTTTTAATATATCATCGAAGAGTTCAGAGAATAAAACTATTGCTATTAAAAGAGATGGTA